CACCTTGATTTTTGGCTGGATGTGTCTGAGAGCATCAGCGGTACCCATGTCGCCATCTTCCTGGATAGAAACCACATCCAGTTTCATCTTCACGTCCTTTATTTTAAGGTCTGTGCTCATCGCCTTCTGGACCTCTTTGGTAGTGATCACTATCACCTCTGAAAACACAGTTCACAAAAGTATCCCTTTGATTGTCTTATCTTCATAAAAAAGGAGACAAGCCACAGCAGATGCTTACATGGCTATAATATGTTGTGAGCTTCAAATAAGCCACTTTTCTGTTTTTTATAAAGTTGGTAGGAACAGTACTAGACCACTTTATGAATCTAAAATGTTGTAGAATCAGTCTAGTTTAATTAGCCTTGTCTGCATTAAATGGTTTATACCGGGCATTTGCTCACTCTAGCTGTGTCAGCCTAGTAAAACCTAATTGCACAGATTTGGCTAGGAAAATGCACATTGTAAACTGCTGGCCACACAGAATGATTATGTATAGAAAGCAACTTTTATTTATCCTAGCGCAGGCTTTTGTAATGAACAGCATATTGCCAAAAATAAATAAATAAATACTTTATAAGGTCAGGCTTTCTGAGCCCCACTGCATGCTGCTGCACAAGAGTCAGAAAACTTGACTATAAAAACATAGTCAGAAAATGCACACCTGACGTGCTGACAATGTGTTGACAAGCTGATGGAAGAACAACTAAAACAGACCAGAGCAAAATCTGACTCAGTGTAAAATATTTACAGATGAGTAATGTTGTTAACTGAGGATTTCAGTGCCAAACAAAAGCAAAACTTTCACTGACCTTAAAGAGAATAAACCATTACAACTGGCTTCGCTTTCACATATTTAGATTTTGAAAAGCATAACACATTTTAAAGTAACTTGTTGTTTCTTTTAGGTATTTTGAATGTTTTAACAATGGTGAAAAACATCTAACCAGTTTTAACTCCCCAGAATTTAGAGTCCAAGTAGTTGGTCAACAACTACTTGTGTAGGATAGATCTTGCTTAAAGTCTAGTATCCCCCAAAACAGATAATTTATTAAACACACAGCTATAGTTTGCACTTCCCTGGATTCTGCCTGGCTTTAACACTCCAAATGATGAACCAGCAATGAAAGAAATATGATTTTTTAAGTCACAGTTGACATGATTGTAATCATAAAACCATTTTTATGACCTTCTCTGACATTCTCTCTTCATTATGTCACTGCACAAATAACTCTCTCCCTTTAAGAGTGCTCACAGTTTTTACATCAGTTTTTGTATCTGTAATTTAATCCTGACAGTACTAACATTAAAAAAAGGACTCCTCCGTTATAATAGGAGGTGAAACTATTTTTCTTATAGGTCTGAGTTTCCACTTTTTGTTCCAGACTTTCCAAGTGGGCCACATAAACTTACTGGCAGGATTTTTGCTTCTTTACATTTTATGTGGAAACCAAGAATGACTTAGCCCTAACTTTAAGACTTCTCCCCCGCTACCACTTACACAAAGCTTACATGCAACAAATACAGTTAATGTGAGCTGTACGCTACAATATCAGACCTGATTTTATAACTTAAGATGACCTATAAAGCAACAAATATTTTCACATATTATGGACACCCAGACCTCTGAATAATATTTCTAATATTCAGTATCAGCTGAAATAATAGCTGAACCAAGAGATAAAGAAGCATTATATTTATTGCTAGCTCTCACCTTCAAATCCCACCTTCTCCAGAAGGTTAAGGGGATACCACATAAGGGGCTTGTTGCCAACAGGCAGCATAGCTTTGGGGGTGTTGTATGTCAGATCAGTCATACGAGAACCCCCACCCACCGCCATCAGCACCGCTTGGAGCTCCATATCTGCTGCAGATGGCTAAGAGAGGAGGGGACATTGTAACTGAAAGCGTATAACATACAGTACTGACCATAGGTGTAGACTTAGTACTTCAACAAATTAATACAGCACTAAAATACTGTCTATAATATTTGTGTATAATACTCTGTAAAATAGTATATAAAAGCACAAAATGTAAATTATGTTCATATTAGCAATAATGTGAGTTCCTAAATGCAAATGGACACCATGGGTAAATGGGCTATTGTGCATCAGTTCAATATAGTTAATGCACAAGAGCACAAACAGATCCTTGTTAAAGAAGTACGTCTTTTTATTACTTTAATTACTAGTTTTTAAATGCATTTAATGCTACTGTTATGTTCATTTTAAATAAAGTGTGTTCAATGTACACATATAACATACTGATGATGCTGTATGCCTCAGCTATATACTCCAATCAGTCTTCCAAGTGACACTCCCTCTGCTCTACCCTGTTTACCTTATTCAAAAAGTCTTAGCTCACACTAGCCAAGATTGTAGGTGGCCAGTCTAACAGAAGGCTAACACAGACAGACAATCAATAATGCTCACATCCACATCTATCGTCAATTTACAAAAACCAATTAAGCTAACCCCATGAATATCGTCAGACTGTGGGAGGAACACAGAGAACATGAAAACTCCACACAGAGAGGCCCCAGCTGGCTAGCACACAGGAAGCTAATGACAGAAGGTTAGCAGTTTAGAGGCATCCCAGACCTGCTTCAGATGTTTAGTAGTTTGTGAAATTGCAATTTGTTGTCACGTGAACTGACACAACTGACAAGCTCTCTATGATTCATTTACTCTCAAGCCTGTGTGACTGAACAGTGATGCTAGACGGATTTCATTTTACAAAGTCAGGACATTAATGTAAGGCATCAGTGGACTCCTACTCAAAAGACTGAAACTGTGAATTCCCTAAAACACTAGTATCATCAAGAACTGTATTTTTCTGTCTTTCATGGTATTGGCTTGATGTCACTAATGAGATCTCGTTGCTGATGGATGAGCACAGGAGTTAGCTTCTAACATTTCTGAATGTCATGATCATGCTGGCAACTAGGGCAGTGCCACATCAAAACAACCACAATAATACCAGTATAAATTTCACATGATACAAAAATGTCTTATCGCAAGTTTCTTGCTATAGCAACGCCATGCATTTACATTCCCTAGTGCACACGACGACAATGAGACAAGACTAGGCATCTCTGAGAGTCAATGACAGTTTATTATAAACAAAAAACATACTTTGCAAAATATCGTAGCTCCCACTAAAAGTAAACACGAAACAACAAACATATTTCAGCACTTGGAGCAAATACACATTGCCACACATTGTACAACCAGGCTATAAAGTAGAAGATACAGTGCAAATGTAAACAAATGCTCCACCGAGGACCACTAGCTGTTCTCTAAATGCCAGGGAGAACAAACAGTGGATGGAAATTACATATGTGGTTACATAGTGGACTAAGCAGGACTTTAAGCAGCTGGTTAAAAGGCTGTTGACCCAACATACAACATCCCAGAATGTAATCACTACTTCAGTATCGTGCTGGTACTTCTGGTACCCGAATAGATTCATACTTCAATAAGTCACACTTTAAATTAGTGTTTCATCAATGGAACAGAAGAATGGAAAATACACTTTATTTACAGTGATGCTGATGCCTGCAAGCATCAATAAAATCTTGTTCAGAATTCTTTTCTATATCACCATTTTCATTGAAATACTGTAATTTGATTTTGAAGTTATACCGCCCAGCCCTACTGGCAGCACATAATCTGCTTCATTCACCTTCATACCAAGAGCATGCACAGCTTAATACTTGTTGAATGGACTCCTAGTGTCTTTTTTTCCCAAGCATTCAGTGGTATCGACCTTCAACACCATGATACCAGTGCATCACCAACAAGTTTGCACAACTGTGCTTCATTGTATGTAAACAAAGATGCCTGTGCTTTATTGTAACGTACGGCACCTATGGTTGAAAATGAGGAAAAAGAGGAGGAATCTGCATATTGTGTTTATCATGATGAAATATGACATCTAAAATCACGCAGTTATTTGACTCCCACAGTCACAGCTTTCTTAGTCTCAGTACAGCGTGTGCTTCACACAGCGGCTGCTCTCCTGAACGTTTATATCCAACATACATCATGTCATCGCTGTAGTAACCACTAGCGCCAAACTGGCATGTGTGCTCAGGACATACCCTGTTGACCGAGTGCACACCCATGCTTTAAAAATTATTTTGAATTAAGAATTAATTCAAAGCCGAAGCACTGAGATATAAAACTTTACCTACCTGTCAGAATCCCTCCGAGCTGCCTGGAAATGACAGCGGTGCTAGACGCATGCAACTTGCAGTCAGTGTTGTTAGCACTCGGCTAAGGACTAGCAGCGAGCAGTAAACGATGCCGCTTTTTTAGAGATAGATTACAACCAACCGGACACGTTTCTGAAAACCGACAGGTAACTTAAATGCAAGTAAATAACAGATATTAGATTTCTCACCAAATAATTTAACAGTAATTACGCAAAAGACGCTAAGCAACTAGCCTTTTAATGATGACACCTGCGTGCCTTTAGTGAAATACGTCCGTGCGGGAAACTACTTCCTCTGTAATATGGTTCCGATCAGAGAATGGGAGAAAAACTAGACCATGATTTGTCATAGACTAAAATTTTTTACAGACAAGGGGAAAAGGAGGAATAGGTATGGTTGAGAAGAACAGATCTGTTTAAAAAGAAAAAAAAATCTTCACTCTGCTAGGGTATAATATCATCATGCTGGTAAGCTAAACTATGATTTATACTAAATTAATTATCCGAGCGATGATGATGATAATTGTTTTACATTATTAAACAGATAAGGAAAATATTCTTTTTTTTAAAGCTATGGTACAAGGAATTACAAATGTTCACACATTGTAAAAATGTGAGCAGATTAGCGGCCAGAAGCCAAACAGCAAAAGCTTAGAAAAATCCCAATTCACAGAGCTGAGACGTAACAGCAAATTGAGCTTGGGGAATGTGGCTCTGGTTTTGTTTGCTCTGGCCAGGAGATGAGCTTGACTGCTCGTTACTGCCTGCTCAAAGCCAGGCAAGCACGAGAAGGGAGGGAAGAAGGAGAGAAAAAGAAAACAACAAAGAGACGAAGAGGCCTGACTGCCTGTTGTTGCCCAAACACCATAATGCTGAAACTATTGAATGCAATTTCTCCACCGTGAATGATGATTGCTGAAAAAGTGGGTGTCCAGCTGCATTTGCTGTCTGTGAAGCAGTGCAGAAGAGCCATGTAGACAAATAACAAAAGAACAAACTCTAAAATCAAACAATCCCATATGCTATTTATCTTATAAAACACACTTTAACGGACATATTATCATTTCTGTTTATCATCTTCATCTTCTCAAGCCTGCAAGGTGTTGTCAGTAGGCAGGTGGCAGCTTTCTCAGTTCACATCAAGGAATCTGGGAAAAAAATTAAAAAGGCCACAGTAAAAGTCAAATAAAGACCACAAAGATTGCTTAACTTAAGCTGGTTAACCACAGGGAACCGAAGTGTGTGAGACATTAGAGAACTTGGCTAGTTACAAGAAAAGCTCAAACAGCAAGAAAGCAAACATGTCTAAAAGGATATCAAAGGTGATTTTTGTTTGTTCTTTTAATAATAATAATAATAATAATAATAATAATAATAATAATAATAATAATAATAATAATAATAATAAACGGGGTTAGTATAGAAGTTTGTGTCATCTGCACATTACTTGAGTTTTCCTGTATAGTGGATGTGATATCCTTGTGATGGTGTTGTTCTCATAATAATGTTGTGTTGTAAAAGCTTCAGAATTTTGTGAGGAAACAAAAAAGTGTTTGTTTACATAAAACTCTCTTCTGGAATAAATGGTGTAATAAATAAAGTGTTTTAGTTTTTAATAGCAATAGATAACTTCTTGGCTAATGCTAACTGATTGCTCAGACAGTGTGATTGGCCAGTTGATGAGATGTGCATGTGTTGTATGCTAAGTTCTGTATTACTTAAAAATGTAATTAAGTACAAAGAATTACATGGCTCAGCTTCTCTCCTCCTCCCCTCAGACATCAATGTTTCTTGCTTATGCTTTCCATACTTCTACATTCATATTCATGTTTCTTTATATTAATGCTTTTCAAGGTTATTAAAGATCTCAATAACTGTCATTTAATGTCTCTATTTTTAATGCAGCTTTTGATTTCCTTTCTGCAAGCAAACCCTGGTTTGCTTCTAAGGCTTCTAATAGGCTTTGTCATTATATACTGCCCTAAGGATATCCTTCCATACACATAGAGACAATGCTATTGAACAATCTCTCTCTTCATTTAGCATGTTCATTGTAAGGAGGAGCCCTACAGAGACACACTGTTTATCACGGTTTGACTTCTTTGATATATGTGGGGAAAACGGGGGAGAAGAAAACAGAATTGAAAAATGAGACAAAGAGGAATCACATGTAAATTTGAAAAAATTCCCTGAGCGTATGTATTTTGCATATTTTCAAAATACGCTTTATTTGTCAGAAATGAAGACATCCGACTGAGCGGTTAGAGGAAGACAAAATGAAAAAAGGTCCAAAACAGAATGCCACAACTCCGAGACAGAACCAGATGGGGATATGCATGCAAACAGACATGGAGACAGTCATGCAGGTCTAATCGTTGAGTGACTTGAAATGGAGCCCTAAGATTTCCTCTGATTTCCTCTCCCTCCTTGGCTCTGTTGCAGCATCTTGTAAATCATTCTCAGTTCACTGAAACAAGCCAGTTGGATTAGCTTGGTTTAGATCATAAACATTTGTAGCACGGACCACCCAGCGAGAGAACAGAGCCAAGGCGAGAGTCTGTGTGAGTGTACATGCATGGGTGTGTTTGTGTGTGTGTTTGAAGCCTCCCTCTGAGTTTAGAGGTGGGTACTGCAGAACATACAAAGTCTCTCTCACACACACACACACACACACACACACACACTTGTACTGTGGTTTGTGTTTGCTCCACTTCCAGGGCCAGTGCTCTGTGGGGCCCTTACCACTGCTATGGAAACTAAAACCGGCACGTTCGCCCAGTCAGTGTCAGAGATGAACGCACATGCTCACAGTTCAAAGATTAAGATGTCTCACTGTGGCAGAGATGCAGAAACTGTTTTACATTCCTTCGGTGATGTGATTAGTTTTTTTTTCTTCTAATTTACTGTGAATACACTTTAGTTTATTGCATGCTAAAAACCTCCCTCTTGTTATGAAATACTTCACAAGATCCATTGTCACTGTTTTATTGGACTGAAATCCAGAATGCAAATTTGTTCATCATCAGCCTCAAAACCAGCTGTGAAATGTTATATTTCAAACAACTGTGATATAAAGTGTGTTTTTTGTGGATTCGCAAATAAATGTCTTTTTTTTTTCCACCTGACATTCAACAGTCTGCGTCACTAGACCTTTGAAATTCATTCCTTTTCACTTGAACACAGTTGGAGTAATTCTTTTCTTGTTTCTCTCTGCTTTCAGGAGGGGAGCCAAGCTGGTGTCAGAACCAGGAAATATCTGGGTTGGGTTTTGAGAAGCCAGAGTGGGAAAATCTGGACAACTCCCTGCTGCAGGGCGCTGGCACTTTTCTCTGTAAGATGCTGTTTGAGGGTCTCTATAACCCATCTGACTGTGTATGTTATCCATTTGCATCCCTCCCTGTTGAGCTACAATACTGGCAATTGTTGTCTATCGCTCTGCCACATTTTCCATTACGAGACTCCGTATTTACTCAATTATAAGACAATTCCTTTTTTCTGAAAATTACATGTAAAATAGTTGTGGTCTTCATGAATCTGAGGGTAAATTCTGGATCTTCGGTAACAGAGTACAGCAGCTTCAACTGTTAAAAGTGAAATGATTATATTTTTAAAAAGCGTGCTGCAAATGCAGAGGCTGTCATTGTCAAGTTTGTAAAGGCCATTCTCGATCGTCTCTGTGTGATAAAGGCTGTTTTGAAGATCTACTAAGGTGGTAACTGAGGAAGATTAATATAGACTTATACAGGAAAAGTGCTAATGGAAGAGGGAGGATTTTGCAAGAAGAAAAGAGAGAGTTTGATCATATCATCTGAACTGCAGCTCGCTTTCTGCGTCTGTGTGTGTCTTTGCTTGGCCACGTTCTGTTTGATGGACTTTCTGGGAGGTCTGTTACCCACACAGGGCAAACATGAACAGACACACATGCACACACACCTTTATATATACACTCTATAGCAATAAAAACAAAAGTATATGGAAGATCTTGTACCTTTTGTTTAGAGATCATTCATTTCAAATCAGTCTAATTGATACCTTTATATTGGGGATGAACACCAGATCATTACATTACACTGCTGAACTGTGTTAAGATAAGATAAGATAAGATAACCTTTATTAGTCCCACGCATGGGAGATTTGTTTTGTTATATATTATTTAAATGCAAAAACATGGATTTTTATAGACTACAGTATTATAACCAAAATGTGCAACAAACTCATGAACAATAATCACGTCATCATAAATTACAACTTACCCCCCCACTCAAAAAAAAGTTTTCAAATCCTAACTCTGTAACTATCCGAAAAAGCAAAAGCATAAATGTACAAAATTAATAAATCACTTTGCTATTCTTTTGGAACATTTTGTGGGTAAGCGATGACTCAGCTATGGATTTAACTCTTTTTATGTATAAACCTGTCGCATTTTATGGACAACACACCCAAAATATTTGGTCATGTTTGATCTCTCTCGACCTGGTTGCCTTCCTGTTCAGCAGAAAAAAAGAGGACACACACACACACACACACACACACACACACACACACACACACACACATGCGTGCACACCCACATGTATGCATCATGCACTTGCAAAAATCGTCTTTTCAACCGAAATAAATGTTTATAGCATTCCAAACATTTTGTGTGTGAGACAGTATGTGTGGTCCTGTCTGCACCTAGCGTGTGGTTTGAGGTTAAGGTGTTTGTCTGCTGGTGTTTGAGCATGCCAGTAATGTGTGTGTGTGTGTGTGAGAGAGAGAGGATCAGAGAGATGTAGAAATGGAGAGCAAGAAACACTAGTGTTTGTGTTTGAAAATGGGAGCAAGGCAGAGAGAATTAAGGAAAAAAACACTGTCTGGGGTATTTTATTGTATCCATTAAATTACTGAATTCACTAAATTTACTAATTCACTAAATTGCTAATAAATTTAGCCATTAAAAAGCTACAATATAAGAGAGATACACTTAGTACGGGCCAAGACTTAAACAATATGAGTGCTTGTAAAGTCTAGTATTGTAGCAATGTCATACACAGGGATCAAGTTGCAAATTGACAAAATCAGTCATACACAAGAGCAATAAAGAAATGCTTTAATGTGATAAGTTGCAGTTGCCCACAGTTTTGCATTCATATGTCTCAAATATTTTTCTTTGTCTAAGAAAAAGCAAATCAAAATGAACTTTAACAGATTAAATGTTTGGCCTAAAGGTTTAATGAGCATTTACCTTTTTTGTTAAATATGTCTTACATCCTAAAAATAGCTGTCCTAGAACAGC